ATGAGTGGGGAGTTATTTGCTTACATGACAAGTTAATTATTGATTTTTGTGGGGTCCATCTATTTATTTGTTTTATTATTATTGGTTGGTAATACCATATCACCTTACCACGTGATATCGTTGCTGTAATGAATATTTTCTCCTAAGTACGGTTCACCATACCAATTTAAAATTCTATTATTGGCCGGTGGTACGATGACATGGCTGATAATACGATGGAGTAATATTATTTGGACTTAAAAATTTAATCTAATTTACTGACATAATAATATGACTTCAATGGAACTATTGGATCAATACAAAGTTTCAATATTTGATAGGCCCCACAAATAAACCAAAGTTCATAGTAAATTAAGTCAATAAATTAGGTCCAACAACATTACTCTAATATGATGACATAAAATCTCAGTTGCATTCAATATTTACTCCCTTGTCACCATGGAAGGAGATGGAAAAGTATAGAAAGGAGCAAAGTGAAAGGGAATTTGTTTTCCATTCAAACTCCTCTAGACGCGTGAGAAAATAGGTGATGGTTTGGTTGACTGAGGAAAAGACTAAATAGTCCGTTTGTACCATTAAAAAGTAAAAAATTATAGAAAAATAAAAAAAATAAGAGATCGGGATAGATATAATGATATTATGTTTGGTTATAAAAGAAAAATAGAAGAATTCTTCTTTCTTATAACTTATTCAAATTCATTCCTCCAAAATTTGACAAAAAAATGGAAGAAAAATAAATTTTATGCGTTAAAATATAAGTTATTTACTTTTATATACCGTACTTTTACTTTTGTATTGGTTCTTTACTTTGTTTCTTTTAATGCTTTCATCGATCCTACCGAACACGTCATTAGTTAAAATGTTGAAACTAGACTTGGATCTCGTTTTGGGTTGAGTTGTGGGTGTCTCTTCTGTGCAGGTTCTCTTTTAGTCCTTTTTTAAGTGATTCTTCCTTGACTAATGTGGTTGTAGTTTGTCGAGTGCATATGACTGTAACTGAATTAATCATTGAATCGAAAAGGACAAACGTTTTAATAAGAAAAAATGGTTGCAAGGTTGCAGTAATTTGTGAACAAGTATGGAGGATTAAACTTACACAACTTTGAGAAATATTAATAGCTATAGTACTATAACAAGAGGGATGTTTAATACATTTCGGGAGCGATGGCCCTGTTCGTCCCTTAGATCCATTATTATTCGACTCAATCCATGCTTATCTTTCGAGCAAAATTGGAGGGGAGAGAGAAAAATTATATCCTCTCCAAATAACTTCCAAACATAGCATTGTTTGATAGACAAGAGATTTAACGTTTTCACTAATATCANGAGGGGAGAGAGAAAAATTATATCCTCTCCAAATAACTTCCAAACATAGCATTGTTCGATAGACAAGAGATTAAGGTTTTCACTAATATTAGGTTCACACAATTATCTCAATTCTGAATCATCTACTGGATCCTTGTTCAATTCATTCCACACTTACCTTTCAAACAGTAACTAACCAACAATAGCAAAAACAACAACAACAGCCAGAACACCATTAAAGGAGGAAAGTGGGGCAAAAAACCATTCTCTCATTTCCCAACACTTTTGAATAAAGTTGTATTAGAAGGACAAGAGATTATAATCTTTTCCTGTATTAAGTTCATTCGCTTTTCTGACTGCTAGATCATCTACCCTCAATTGTTGGAGAATCTATTTAGATAAAAATTGAATCTTTAATTAAATTCACGACAATTTAACATTCAGATANGGGGCAAAAAACCATTCTCTCATTTCCCAACACTTTTGAATAAAGTTGTATTAGAAAGACAAGAGATTATAATATTTTCCTGTATTAAGTTCATTCGCTTTTCTGACTGCTAGATGATCTACCATCAATTGTTGGAGAATCTATTTAGATAAAAATTGAATCTTTAATTAAATTCACAACAATTTAGCATTCAGAGAATTGAGGGAATCTATTGAAGAGAATATAAGAAACATTCAAGCTTATATAATTGTTTCATTATTACAAGAAAAGTTAAACCCATGATAAGGAGTTTGTCACATAGAATAAACTGTAGCAAATTGTTTGTAGCCAAAAAGTCAATCACAATATCAAATTCCCTCAGATGAGAGAAACAACAAACCAAACTAGGCTAGTGGATGAAGCCATGTGAGATAAAGCAGGGCCTCTATACTGCTTGCCATGTGCCAGAAAGCAGCACAGAATGGGGAATGTGTTGTTTAGGATTACTTTTATGCCTAAGGATTGCATTACTCCATTTGGGTTTTCAATAAAGAGCAGAGAAGGATAAGGAAAAAAAACATTGGAATTTTTCAACAAAGAGCACAGGACATACAAGAAGAAAACAAGTAACCAACTAGACAACAAAGGAAGCAGTTAAGCCATTATAGACAGTAATGCATCAAGCATTTGTAAGAAGTGGTGACACTTTATAACCAACATTCAAGCTCAAATTGGGAATATAAAATTATAAAAGCATAACAGAAAGAGAAATCAATAGTTCCATTATATAAACAATAGTCTGACATTAGTCGTAAAAGTGTAAAAGTGAATCACGGAGAGGACCCTGGCCCTTCAAAATCAAAACAAAAGTATATAGCTAATCAGGGGTGTTTATGGGCCAAGTAGGCCCACGGGTTCTGTTAACTGGTTTGACAAAAATAGGCTCGAAACCTGATAGTTAGTCGCCCGAATCCGAATCTAATATTCTTTAAGAGATGACTTGAGTTGGCCTTCAAACTCCTTACCCGGCCCAAAATCCAACCCATGAGCCCATCCACACAAAAAGTTGTTCAAACTTGACCCAAGAGCCCACCCGTCCTTCCACCTAATTGTTTGAAAAAAAATTGACCATTAAAACTTTGAAAGTTTACCATTGAAAGTTTGGTAGCAATATATGATTCTACTTTATTTAAATAATATTATTTATTATTTACTTTTTGTTTATTTTCAATCTATTTTTAATTTAAAAAATATAATTTACAAAAATATTATGTTGAAAACTTTTTAAATGAACGTGTATATATATAAAAAAACAGCCCGCCTAATAGGCCCTCCTAATGAGTAACGGCTCGGCCCGCCCAATAATTCGTCTAGGTAAGGGCTTGAACTTATCCAATCCAAACTTGGACCTATCCAATCCAGGCTTGAATCGAAAAAAATTATGCCGGGTGTTCAAAATTTCAATTATTTGCATATTTCAACCCTACTCGATCTTACCGATCAGTTATCGCAAAAAATCGGATAAGCCAATTTAAGAATTTTTGGTGTGCCGCAAAAATCGAATAGGATTGTAGAACACTCGACCCTAAAATTCTCTGTGTGTGTTAATGTGTGTAGAAATCCTAAAATCCCTACGCCTCCTCCTTTTTCTTAGCATTAGACCCAATTATGATGTATTTATGTTTATGACTTTTTAATTGTGTTTTATTATAATTGTTTATGTATTATTAAATTTATTGTGTTTTCTTTAGTATTATTGGTTTATTGTGTTGGTTAATTGGTGTAAGTTATTTAATTAAATTGTTAAAATGATCAAAAAATTAATAATTAAAAAATATGTGTTCACTCAATTTTCTACCTAATTGTTTTGGACAAAATTCAGATAAGAATAACACATTTGATCGGGTAGGGTAGACTAAGAAATAATTTTTTTTGCAAAGTATATGATAGAAAAATAAAATACCATAATTCCCATCGGTAGGATAGGGTGAACACCCCTAGTGACCTTATCATTAGTTTGATAGTGGACCTCTCTATTAGTTAAGACTCACTATCAATTCAATGGTTATGATCTACCATGTCACCAAAAAAAACTCAATAAATTAAGTAAAAAAACATTTTCCTTAAAAAAAATACCTGACAGTTCCAAATTGCAAATCGCAATTTAGGTTCCTCTCCTATGATTTTTTCGATGTAAGATTCTTGCGTTGACCCTTGTCAAAATAGATATAATGGAGGATGAGAGGAAAAAAAGGATGAAAATAGTTGAGCACTAGAGGTATAAGGGTCCGTGGTGATTATTAACTCTCCACATCGGGTCACATTACTTTTGAGAGTCGGGTCTGGATCAAACGAATTTTCATGTATATCCCACATCTTTTAGCACAGCAAAGCTATCCGACACGGGATAGCCCACTCCCCTCCCCCCCCAACGCTCCCGTATGATATACCTACCTACAAGTTCTACGTGGTAAAATGCATCACTCAAAACAGGTTCAAGGGAATAACCATTTGTTCTCTATACATATCCCAGCAAATGCATGGCAGTCTTACCGTGTTGTAGTCTAATCAGAAAGTTAATTTGAATGAAGTCGATTCTTTTTTAGATATCAAAATCCAATCAAATTGATGAATTTATTTTTCTATTCAGGTATCTCACTCAAAAAATAAAAAAAAATAAAATTTGATAATAAAGTAGCCTAACATGAAAGTCCAAATCTTTGATTTGTCCTACCCTACTCTCCACCCTACTACAATCCTATTGGTCTAAGACTCTTTCTTCTTACCCGATTCACTTATTTGCTAATCACAAAAGCTCTTCTTTATTTTTCTACCCCTCCATTTTTCTTTTCCTCAATAACATAATATGTCCTTCAAGAGAAACAAATTGTAAATTCAAACAAATTGTAAATTCAAACGTTTTAAAAATCTCTTCAGAAAAAATCCACTTTTACAAAATAAGATCCATTTAAATTAGCGATGATCTAACATTACAACAAAATTATTATAGAGAGGATTTCACTACATAAATAATGAATGACAACATACATATAAATATACTTTCCCATAAAAAAAAATGTAATCCACACACAAAAATAGACAAGGATGACCAAGTGCCATTAAATTTTAAAAAGACAAAACAATATTCATTAACTCAATTTATCTTAAAACATTCCAAAAAAAAATAAAAAATAAAACAAAAAATCTAGTAAGATCAAAAGAGAAACCCTAGAGCAACAAAAAAAATCCCCAACTTCTCCGAAACCTATCAATCTTGACTATTCAACTTCTCGATCCTCTGATTCAACTGCTCAGCTTTCAAAACCAGAAGGGTCACAGAATACAACAGCCAATAGAACATCAACGCCGCAACAATCAACAGAGCATTGCGCTGGCTCTTCATGATCGATTTCTGGTGCCGCAACTGCTCCGTCGGAGTACAAGATCCGGGCGATTCGCAAGAGGGTCGGGTCTCGTACTTCCAGTAGATGTCCATGAGCAAGAACAGGCAAAAGGGTACGACAGCCAGGAATGGCTTGAGGAGGTTCCGGGTTATTGAGATTAGGCCTCTACGCAGGCCATCGATGCCGGGGAGGGTTAAAAGGAGGACCATAATTGCCTCTGCGGCCGCGGCGTAGCCCAGTACTACCCATTCCAATGCCATTTTTGAGGTTTGTGAGATTTGGTACAGGTTTGGATCTGCAATGTTGTGCGTGTGTGAGATAGAGAGAGAGAGAGAGAGGAGCGACTGGTTCGTTATATCGGAGGAGAGAGAAGGAATCGGCTAAAAGTGCAAAATGCTCACAGGTGGCAAACAATGAGAACATATACCAAACCACGTGGAGGAAGATGGGTGCATGGGTTGAGAGTATTTCAAACTGTGTCTGATATGCTTCAACATTCCCATTTTTGCTTTAATTTAGTAAATTCCCCTACAGGATCCTAATAGGTTAAAGGTCCAAATATCATTTCTAAGACTGCAATAAAATCATTTCAAAATTGGACGTGACTGGACTCCTTTAAACCACCATACCAAGATAGGCCCTTCCTTCCATATGAAAAAAGGCTATTCGAAGCCTTTGGTCATTGAGTGTTTTGTAATACTCAAAAAATTGTTTTATCTTTTGAATCCATTCATCCGGATTAGTACCATCAAATTTAAAAAAATTCAACCTTAAGGACCTAGCTTGAATTCCCCCATTTCCCTCAAGTAATGGAATGTTACTAACCTTAGAGTTGGAAGAACCTTCCTTAGAATTGTGATGTGCTGCTAAAGTCTCATACCTAGATGTCAGATTATTGCTCTGTTTGAGTATTGCGGCTAACATCTCCTTCTGATGCTCTTGTTCTTCACGCAGGTGGGTGTTCTCTCCTTTCAGTGCTGCCAAAGCTTCAGTGATCTGCGCATGCCTAGTACTCTCAACCATTGTCTCAAAACCAAGGCTCTGATACCACTATAATACCTATAAAATTACGTAATCAAAGTGACTAAATTGTTTATGGTAATTCGAGGTTACCAGGCCTCCTTTTGATATTCTGTAAATTGAATAAATGCTTCCCCTCCTTTTGATTGAATAGTCACAAACATAAATAGGCCGGGTGATAACTGACCACTACGCGACGGGGGCATTGCTCAGTAAATACGGACTAAAACAATTGATTCAAACAAACTACAGGGACTCAATAACTACCCACTAGCCTTTCGGCCCACTTACAAGGACTCAATCAACGAAATAAAAAGCAAAGTAAAATGACACAACTTTAGCACCATTAGAAAAACATCGAATAACAAGGGTCTGGATCCCTCGCACATAAAATGAGCACGTAGGAAACAAAAAAAAACAAAGACATAAAGATAGGATTTCTTGTTGAATCAAGGTAGAGTTTTCTTTTCCTTTCTGATCATTGAAGCTAGGGCTAGATACATGTAAATTTTGACTCGTACTAGTATAAATATTATGGATATGCGATGGTTTTTGATTTTCTTGAAAAAGTATGATGCAATCTTGTTGAAAAATATCTAATTTACATTCCCCGTGCATTTTGAGTTCACAAACTCTAGATCTTTGAATGATAAATAATCGAGTGTTTATTTACGATCTCATAATTTCATTATTCTCTTACTTATTTATGACTACCAAAATATCGTTTGATTCATTACTTGATTTGATTTTCTAAATTATTGGTTTGATGAACTTGAATATACCCGACCTATAATATAGTGTGTAGACGAATTTTTTTTCCCTTGAGGGGTATCAAGACTTTCTACCATTCTTAGTAGATGTGTTTGGCTCCTTTTGGGTTCTAAGGGTTCCCACTATTTGTTCATGTGGACTGAGGCAGAGGTTTAATAAACGACTTTCATTTCTTGCGGGTTTCCTACCACTAGGGAGAATTAATTAGATATTGATGCATTAATATCGATTTTTCCTAAAGTCCTCCGGGAGATTGATATGATTTGCGATTTTGATGTTGGGGAACATATACATTTCGTAATTCTTGCTAATCAAACATTTTACTTTGTTTACTATATTCTTCAATTATCCTACTGTATACATAATAAATTTATGACATCTTTATGAATTAAAATTTTTTATTCAAAAGTCATATATTTACTTTGGAAATTGTGGCCTATCTATTTTTCCTGATTTTTCTAAACCTCGTTTAGGATGGAATTTTTTTTTTCTACCAAGCTAGTTGTGTTCATCTTTTGATTTAATATTTTTTAGATTTGAGTTTGGAGCTAGAGACAGGTCTAAGTGAGGACCCAGAGTTGGATTTGAAAAAGGATCAATATTTCAATCCGGAAGTTTATGTTTGAAGAACGTCTATTTAGTTTCATTTCAGAATTTTTTAATGTTTAGCTAAGATTCATGAATTTTTAGATTTGAGTTAGTTAGGTGACAATATCATTGTTTAGGATTTGTGGTTGTAACTTTTTGTTAGATTGTGTATTGTAATTGGCTAAATTCGTGAAGTTTATGTAAATCTCAATCAAATACCATAGTCATCAAGCTTCAAAGATCAAGATCTAAAAGCAAGAAATGAAGGGAAGGAGATCAAGCTACATCAAAATCACTCTGATGCACCATTAAGTTTGGAACAAAGGTAATAACCTTAGAAACCTAGATCATCTTATTTAATTTTAAATTTATAATGATTAAGGTGAATAAAATAGAATTTGAAATATCCAAAAATGACTCGTAAGGTTTTTCTTTCAATTGGTCTTAAAAATTAGTATTGTAATTACCCTAATTCCTAAAGGGTATATGGGATAAACTATAATATATTTAAATTTCAATAATCACGAACAACCAACACATCCTTTTGTTTATCCTTCGAGTGCATTCATTTTTATGTGATTTATCTTCCTTATTTGTCGTGTCTTGTGTCACACATACATGTGTTCCCCTTTTGAAGGTCATAATATCTATAGCTTTATTTGCTTAAGTAAGTTAAGGAATATACAAAGCTTTCCACTATGTTGTTGACACTAATTCAAATTTATTGTATGAAACTTTCATCATGCATGGCCCCATAGGCAGAGAGAGAGAGAGAGGGGGGAAAAAGGATTAGAGTAATGGTGCAAAGAGACTAGATTTGTACTAACCCACCTTAATGAAAATCCCCACAAGCCAAAAGCATTACCAAAAGCAGAAGATAATGGATGAAAGAGAAGATTGTCCTTCATTCATGAATGTTCCCCTCTGTGATTGTCCTGATCTTCATTTTTTTAACTCCTATTCAATCAATTTCATTCTGTTATTTTTTATTATTTAAATAATGTCAATTTAAAATGCAGTTAAAAGGAGAGAGAATATTTAACTCTTAAATCCATTTCATTCACTTATTTTATTATTATCTAATTAAAAGGGCAGTTAGATTAGAGGAAACATTGTCTCAATCATTTGTATGGTAATCAGCATGGATGTCTGAGTGTCTATTTATATTTTAACATTAGTTTCTTTCTTGTTTTCTTTGAAACAAAGGTCGAACATGGACATGATCATCACTAAGATTTTCTTATTTTAGGTCTTTAGAAAATCTTCTACATTATTCGGGATAGGTCTGATAATTTAGGCACGATTAACAAATCTAACTCGAAATTGTCAAAAAAATTCATAAATTTAAATTTAGTTTTAAGCGAGTGCGGGTGATGAACGGATGAACCTCTTAAGTAGGTTCATTAAATAAATGAATTGTCATTAACCCGACTAACCACGACACATACTCAGTAAAAATGGGTTATACATTGCATGAACTATGAATTAGGTCAACAAATAAATCTAAATAATATTATTGCTAATCTATAGAAGTATCACTTACAAAGAAGAATCATTGATCTACTCTCTGTCGCTCTCTTTTGGTTAGACATGATTATAGGGTGGGAGATGACAAGGTCCGAATTCATAACTTTAATGTCCAACAGGAGAATGATAATTATTAAACTAACAGCTAATCTCTCATTCATCTACTTTGACTGATCGGAAGAAGAAATGATGGGTGTGCCACCAATGACTCTGATGAAGCCTAAAGAATGTTCTGATCAACAGTTATAAAAAAGAAAAAGTGTTCATCTTAAGATGATAAGAATGCTACCTCATTCAATATAATCATGACAATAGAGATAGACTACATAGCATAAGAGCCGTCTTTAGTTCGACTACGTATGTGCCATTCAATCATGACAATATGCAGAATATATAGGAGTCGTTTAGAAGTAGTGTCAGTATCATTCAAAATGGTAATGATTATATGTTTGGATCAACTCTGCAAACAATTGTTAAAATGAGTTTGTCTTTAAATCATTTGTTTGAAAAATTAGAAACACGTTTCTAATAAGATTTTTTCCGATGAATTTTTTTAGACAAAATATAAGACAAATTATAAAATGTAACAACCACCCTTTAGTTCGAGGATTAGAATATGTACTTAATCATCCGATTTATTATATTTGTACTTTATAACTTAGTTAACTCTCGTATCAACAGCAAATTAATCGAAAAATAAAGATAGTTTGTGAGAATTAAACACATGGTTCCGAATCATTATGCATACTTCTCAAAAATCAAAATTTTTAATTAATGTAGGATCAATATCACTATTTCTGTTAATCGAATTCCAAAATAGATGATTGACTCATTATATACTACAAGTAATTGCCGAATATCTTTGGATAACATGGATTCTTCTATCTTAGTAATGTTCTACAATTAAGAAAATTAGTTACTCGTGAATCCATTTCATAGAAGTTCATTAAAATCCTTTTGTGTAAAGCACATTGACTTTGATAATCGCTCAGTAAAGATTGCTTGCAACATAATGATATGAGTTTGGCTACAAGTCATTTGCCTATTAAAGAGATACTCAGAGCACAGCCTCACTACTGTCACAGGGCACCCAATAATAATATTTGATCATGTATGAAGTTTTCTTCTTCTATAAGATTAATTAGAGGTACAGCCCCATGTAAATTTTATACAAATATGAGATCATATGCACTAGAAAAGATGTACAAGATCAAACTACTAACATATAAATAGGTGTTTCAAGAGTCAGGGTGGGCAAGTGGCAAGTGCCCCTCCTAGTCCATAAGAAACTTGAGCTTAGAAAACCCGACTTACAAGGTCTAGATGTTATTCGGTTTTATGAGAAAAATGAAGATATCCTCTAGCAATTGACTTAATTGTTGCTAGATTACTTACCTCGAATTCATGACAGCTACTCCAACATTGAATGAATGGAAAAAAAACAATAAGAGAATGAATACACACACACACACATATATATATAAAGAGAGAGAGAGAGAGAGAGAGAGAGAGAGAGGCAAAAAAGGGTTGCTAAGTATGTTGGTTTTGATTATGGTGGCATATAGCCTATGAAAGATTAAATGATACCTGTGAAAAAATAGTTGAATACTATTATCGATGCAAAAGAATCTACACGAAGCACAAGTGCAATAGAATTAAAAATGATAATTCTTCACTAACTTAAAAAGAAATAGAAGAAGAACTATATTAAAGCTTTACTTTACAATGAATTAAAGGTTTGAATTGACATTAATCTACAACTCATAACCTAAAAGTAGCAATAATAACACTCTTGCTCACCAGCACCACATAGCACCTTTACAAAAGTATTATTGCCCCATTATGCCTATAGGGAGTGTGGAATCTTTAAGCTTCACTTGCTCTTTCAGCTACCTTTCTTATTTTATTTGTTTCAATGCACTTGTTTCCATGCACATCTCTATCTTTCCTTTTGAGTTTTGCTTTGGAGGAAATGTGAAGGAAATTTCACAAAAACATGGTGTGAGAAAAGTAGGAACTATAAAGCAAAAGATCACCGAAAGCAAAGCAATTTACCAGAGAAGGTTGGAGAGAGGAAACACAATGAAAATGCCTTCAACTTGTAGTTTATTTACGACCTGTAATGTAAGGAAAACCATAGTAAGATTTGCTTTAAGATTTCAATGGTGACACAAAAAAAAGTTATGGTCAATGTATCAAGCTTTTTGCCAACAGCATAATATACAAAAAGTGAAGGTGTAGACATTCTTGCTTCATTTAAATAGAATGATTCAATTGTATACAAGATACAAATGTTATCGAAAATAACTTAACGTAAAAG